AAGGGATGATGGAGCAATGCTGCCCAAAAACCCACAGATTTGGGTTCGGTTGCCCAAAAACCACCTCCCAGGTCCGTCAAGGCTGTTGGGTCTGAAGGATGGGGACATGGAGGGACAAAGCCACAAGGAGGAAAATAAACACCTGCAGGGCTGGGAACCCTTTTTCACCTTTTTTTTTTTTTGAAGTCTAGCATGAAAAAAATAAATGTTCCAGCCTTAAATTTGGAAATCTCCAGGATTATTTATTGAGAGGAGGGGATGCAGCAAGAGGTTCAGTACGGATGCTCCAGGACGTGGACCATGATGTCCAGCAGCGCCGGCCAGGTCTCGGTGGCGGTGGGGATGATCTGGGAGCTGGGCAGGAGGAATCCATAGCGTCCCGTATCCCTCAGCTCGAAGGTGAAGGAATATTTCACCCCGTTGTCGTAGGCCCAGTCAATAGTGGTGCCACCCGCCATGTCTGTGGGGAGGAGAGGAGAGATGTCATCCCAACGTTGAGCGTTCGTGGTGGACACAACGCTGCGGGATGAGGGCGGGACGCTCACAGATGGTGTCCGCGATGCTGCCGTAGGTGTATTTTGTCCCGTACACAGCGGCCAAGTCGCTCACCGCTTTTTTAGCCACTTCATTCTGCAAGAGACAGCCCAAAAATTGAGAGAACTGGTGGACCAAGACCTTGAGGCAGCAGAAATCCTGGGGGCAGCGGGATCTAGAGCCCAGCATCATCTCCAAACCCCTCTGCTCTTGCTTTTCCCCAAAACACCCTTAATTTTTGGTACATCTTGCAGTTGCCCTCCCTCCAAGAACTAGATGATGGGCTCCAACGTGCAGGTTGCACCTAACGAGAAGAGCAGGAAGGGTCCTGGGATGATCCAGCCTGACTTTTCCAGCCAGGCTGGTGCTCGCAGCCCCCACGTCTATGTTTTGGGGCCACCTCACCAGTTCCTGGTGGTTGGGCGCGGGCACTGTCTTGTAGCCGTAGGGGTAAAGCAGCATCTGGGAGTAGCTGTGGATGGAGATGACCGATTTCACGCTCCCGTGGCCACAGATGAAGTCGACAATGGATTTCACTTCACTCTCAGAGTGGGCGTAGGGGCCGCGGTAGGTCTCAGAGCAGGGGTTGCTGCTGGAGCCGGCGCCTGGGGCATGGTGGAGGAGGGACCATGCAGAGAGGTTGCCCTGGGGAAGGGTTCCCAGCCCCCAGGTTTCTCCCCTCGAGCAGGAAGCTTTGATATTTTGAGGCACAAAGCAATGCCCGGCGTGGGGACCTGGTGGCCCGGGTCTCACCTCCAAAGCCGGCGTCCCAGTTTCGGTTGGGGTCCACGCCGACGCACGGGGAGCCAGCGTTGATGGACCTCGTCTTGCGCCACAAGCGGTTCTAGGAGCAGATGGGGGTGAGACCATCACCGGGCTGTGAATCCCCCCACTTTGGGGGACAGATCATGCCCCAGCATCTCTGGGGATGGGAGGAAACCACCACTTGCCATCCCACATGGGAAGGGACATCCTTTCCCACCCAAAAACCACAACCAGCCATGGCTGCTGGAGAAAAGATCCGGGACAAGTTCGCCCTGCAGTGTCCCCAGACTCACAGAGCTGTGGGTGAAGGCAAAGCCATCGGGGTTGACGACGATCTCAAAGAAGATGTCCATGCTGTCCAAGATGGCGGTGACGGAGGGGTCCTGGCCATACTCCTCAGCGATCTGCATGGGGAAGGGAGTCACTGGTGCTGCCTCAGTGGCGCTTGAGGACAAGGGACGCGACTGAGCAGTATCATGGGAGATGTTAAAAAAGGGCTGGGGTAAGAATTGGGGTCCCAGGGCATGGGGTTACCTTGTTGGCCGTCCAGACACCGGTGGCTTGGGTGATCCATTCCCGCGAGTGGATGCCAGTGTCCAGCCAGATGGCCGACCGATTGGACCCCCCAGTGCTGAACTGGACAGAGAGGGAGGATTTCAGCCGTTTGCCCTCCCGGGGCTGGGCAAGGCGAGGGTGGCCCCGGTACCCACCTTCAGCACGTACAGGGGTCTCTTCTCGTAGCTCTGCCCAATCCGGAGCTTGCTGATGAGGTTGGGATGATCAGCCACCAGCACGCTCAGCCAGTCGTAGATCTGAAAGGAGGAGATGCTGGGTCATGAGGCTCGATCTGGCTTTCCTAGGGGTTTTTAGGGTGTCCGGCACCAGATGCAACATGCTGAGCTTCCCTGGAGAAGACCTGGGACCTCCCTGGAGAAGACCTCCGTGTGAGCAAGAGGTGCACATCGCAAAGGCTTTTGCAAAAGCAGAATGAACGGATTGGGCCCCAAGCACAGGGTTTGGCCCCCCAAATAGAATCATAGAATCACAGGATGGTTTGGGTTGGAAGGGACCTTAAAGCCCACCCAGTGCCACCCCCTGCCATGGGCAGGGACACCTCCCACTAGCCCAGGTTGCCCAAAGCCTCATCCAGCCTGGCCTTGAACCCCTCCAGGGATGGGGCATCCACAGCTGCTCTGGGCAACCTGGGCCACTGCCTCACCCCCCGCACAGGAAAACATTTCTTCCCAAGATCTCATCTCCATCTCCCCTCTTCCAGCTCAAACCCGTTCCCCTCGTCCTGTCCCTGCACCCCCTGACCCAGAGCCCCCCCATCTCTCCTGTAGCCCCCTTTCAGCACTGGAAGGTGCTGGAAGGTCTCCCCGGAGCCTTCTCTTCTCCAGGCTGCACACCCCCAACTCTCTCAGCCTGTCCTTGCACGGGAGCTGCTCCAGCCTCGGACCATCTCCGTGGCTCCTCTGGCCCCACTCCAGCAGGTCCAAATGGAGTTGAAGATGTCTTCCAGCGAGGTGGGGAGCTGCCAGGAGAGGCCACGTTGCACATGGAGGAATGTTTGGTCTCCCGGTTCAGCTAGAACCTCTGCCCAGGGAGGAGAATCGTGTCCTGGGGGAAGTCTCACTGCCACCATGAACGTCACCAGATGAAAGAACCACGACACGGGCTGAGCATGGCCCCAGCGAGACAAAGCGAATGATCTACAGAGCAAAGTACCTCGTCTATCGTGTGGTAGGAGGCAAAGTCGAAGGTGCTGGTGCTTCTCTCTGTCCTCCTGGACTTATTCATGGTTTTCTTTTCTTCATCCAATAATTTCTGTTTAGGAGGCAAAAAAAAAATCAAACAGTCTGGGAGGAGCAGGAGTTGGGTTCTTCTTCCCTCTCCTCCTGGTTTCCAACTTCTTGGACCTTCTCTTGGGAATGAACTGCAGGAGCTCGTCCCGCTCCCCACTGCAGCCCTTACCTGCACGTCCTCGATCATGACGCTGTAGGAAATGTTGTTGGATTCCAGGAAGGTTTTGACTTCTTGGAGGTTGAGGAAAGGCACCTGCAGGTCGGCTGGGAGTCCAGGATGGCTTGGGCGACGCCAGAAGTCAAGCTGGTGTGGAGGAGAAGAGAGAGCTTGGCCCTGTCCCATGCTGGTGCTCATCTGCTGAGCTTCCCAGCACCAAAAGGGGTCTCAGAAGACTTTCCACGAAGGATCTAAAAAGGTCTTTGGACAAATTTTGGGCCACACAGGGGTAGCAGGACGGGTCAGGGTCCATTTGGCTCACTCCATGGATCTTCTACACAAACAAGTTTCAGCCCAAGTTGCTTGTTGGCTGCAAACATCCCTTTGACTGATGGATATTTGTGATCTGAGCCGACACAATGAGACACCAGAGACCCTGCACGCTGGTTTTGCTCTTTAATTTTGTAGAGGCATCTCCTTAGGTCAGCTTTGGGGTGCAGATGTTGTTCCCCACCACCCCTCTCTCTTCTGCTGCTTAAATTGTTCACTGAGATTCAAACAGGATAAAAGCAGCAGGAGAAGAATTACGTCATAATTCAAGCCAAAAAAAAAAACAAAAACGCAATGACATTTACACATGCTGCAGTGGTTGGGGTGTTCTCGCTTTGTCTGAAACATGAGCGCTCAGGGTGCTCTAAGCTCAACATTATATTTATGTAACTGTAAGTTACATGTATTCGAAAAGGGGAAGAAAAATTGGATGCGAGGTCAAAAGAAGGAGGGATGCTCAGGGCACCCGTGGCCGCTCACCTGCAGCTCTGTCTGCTCCCCCAGCACCCTGAGCAGGGCGATCTGCTCCTCGTCGCGGGCCGTGACGCGGAGGACCTGGTACCTGCGGGGAGGGAGAACCATCAGCACATGGAGAGGAGAGAAAAGGTGCTGAAGCTCCAGCGCTGACATGGCCCCATCGTGAGCTGGGGGAGGCTGTGAAAGGTCTACATGGGCTCGGTGGGTTGGAAAGTGCATCAGTTGTTGGAGGTTTGGTGTCAAGAGTGAAAAAAGTAGGTTCAGAATAGCCACAATGGCAAAAAGAGCAAGTGTCGGGGAGCCCAGGGTGGTCTTCATCCTTCCTTGGATCATGAGATGTCAAAAAATGTTAGGAAATATCTGACATATTCATATATTCTGCCTATGTCATGGTTTGGGTTGGAAGGGACCTTAAAGGCCACCCAGTGCCACCCCCTGCCATGGGCAGGGACACCTCCCACTAGCCCAGGTTGCCCAAAGCCTCATCCAGCCTGGCCTTGAACCCCTCCAGGGATGGGGCACCCACAGCTTCTCTGGGCACCCTGGGCCACTGCCTCACCACTGGCAACTGAGGTTTCCCCATCTTGGGGACTGACAGTCCTTCCCCTGGCAAAGCTCGGGGTGATGCCCTCACGATTCACCATCCCCTAATTTCTACCCATTGCGTGCTCAAAACCTTCCTCCAAACCTGGGGTGAAACCATTCCTGGTGTCCTCATGGCAAAAGCTGCTGGATTTCTGTCCTTTGGGATGTCCCCCTTCTTGTTGATCCCAAAGGAGAACAGGTGGGACCAGGAATCTCTCACCGCAGTCCCCATCCCCACCAGGGTGCCCCACCAGCC